ATCAGCTGACAGCAACCGCCAGCGCCGCCGACCCGTCACGTGACGCGCCGGCTGGCCCGCGAGGAGGCGCCCGTGGGGGCGGAGCGGAGCGAGTCTGGAATTGGACACAGGCCCCACCCCTGAGGAGGGTCGGCACTCCGAGGGGGAGGGCAGTGACCTCACTGAGGCTCACTCGCCGTCCACAGACGTCACGCACGACGTAGGGCGGTAGGGGGCCTGGGGGCGTGGGGCTCCCTAAGCCACGCCCCCAAGGCTTATTTAAGGTTAAGGGGCGTGGCCTGACGGTCTTGTAACGCACCTGGAAAACCGGGTATCGGCGCAGAGCCTTGACTTGGGTAAGGTTACAGAGCAAGCTCGGACTCGGCGCTCACTTTTAAATGTCTTAAGTCGTTGGGACGTCACGGTGACTGCACACCCACCGAGCTGGTAGATACCCTGTCTGGCCTGTTGTCTTCCTGTCCTAATAGGACTCTTCCCATCTGAGGTCGAGGTCTCCCAGGTGCAAGCTGAGGCCTGTTGCAGCTCCGTATCTCAAATAGGAGACAAGAGCCAGGAGTTTGCGTTCCCTGCACAGGGAGCCAACCCAATAAATTCAGCTTGGGACGGGCTAGCGCTCCAGGTAGCAGAAAGCACGCAGAAGTCGCGAACGGTGCCTGGGACCCATCTTTGCCCTTAATTTACAGTGTGATTCGAACAGCTTCCCATTTTCCCTGGATGCTGGAATTAGTTCAAGGACTCTCAGCTTTTTTTAGGTCACAGGCTCTTTTGAGAATTTGAAGCCACGAGCCTTTCTGAAAAGGCAGAGATCCAATATAACTTCGGGGAGTTTTGGGGTCCCTGAAGCACAGCTGTTGACCCCAAGTTGAGAATTAAGGCTCTTAGATACCTTTCCCAGCTTTGTAATCCTATGTTCTTCAACCTTCCTGTCTGGGCCATGTTTCAGATGTCGCCTACATTGGATGCCTGATCGATGGGTTATGTTTTTTTCTTCTAAAGACTCCAAGAGCCAATAACCACTGCTTTGGTGGTATGGGGCTTTAGTATTTATTGACCAAATTGTCTGTGAGTCTTAAACTTGAAAGGCTAGTAAACTGACTCTGCACAAATTTAGGATGATGGAAAATCTTTGAACTTACAATCACTTCCGCATGTTAACCTGTTTAACAGATGTCAGCCTGTTTAACGGTTGACTTCTCTACAATATAAACACTTAATGGAAGTCATGACTGCTGTGCTTTGAAGTGTTTTAATAATGCACGTGAGACTTCATAAATGCCTTTCCCCCTACAGTCTACAGCCGTGGGCAAACTACGGCCCACGGGCCGGATCCGGCCCGTTTGAAGTGAATAAAACTATTGAAAAAAAAGACCGTACCCTTTTATGTAATGATGTTTACTTTGAATTTATATTAGTTCACACAAATACTCCATCCATGCTTTTGTTCCGGCCCTCCCGTCCAGTTTAAGAACCCATTGTGGCCCTCGAGTCAAAAAGTTTGCCCACCCCTGAATGCTTCATGAGGGTTGGAATACTATGTCTACTTTACTCACCACTGTTGTCCAGCACAATAACAGGAACATTTAAGTCAATCTACCTTTCAGTAATGGTTTTGGGACTATAAGGAGAAGATGAACTTTGTCGGATACCATCCATATTTTTCTTCATTTAAGATTATTGCTTGGTTGTATGGAGTATATTTAGCATGAACTTCCTTTGGATTCTTCCATTAGTTTGTGTGGGGTGATTTACCGGAAGTTCTTGCCTTCCTACATCACTCTGGTTTAAAGTGATTATGAGGAGATCTTGGCTTTACTGCCAAGAAAAAGGCCATAAGGTTTATCCTTCATAGCAAAAAAGCAGAAACAATCATGTGTCCCCTTAACAGGGAGTGGAATATAACTCCATGTAAACAGAATACTACATAACTTTTCAATTAGAAATGGAAGTTTGTGGATTTTGTCAACACAATAGCTAAGAATATAAGTGGCAAATACTATGTTTTAAATGTGTATGCTAAGAAAAATCAAACTCAGTAAATGTTTTTAATTTTTCATTTTAAGTGTTTTAGCACTATTAATATCAAATGCCTTCCTTGAAGGTAAATATTTAGGTCCCTTAAGACTGACATATTGCATAAATGTAATGTAATCTATTACATCCTTTATGTACTGGTAGACAGAAATCACAGTACTTTGCCTCCAAAGTTTAAAGACAATAAAATAGTATGATGAGAAAAGTGAGGCCTGTTATCATAAAATGCAGCTAGGACAAAAGGACATACGAACAATGAAAGGTCTCAGAGGTTTTCCTACAGTCACATTTGCTAACTACTATAGATAATACTGAAGAAAGGTTCTGATGAATTACATACACAATTTACCTTTGAAAGTGGCTTCAGGTAGAAGAGAGCTTAGGCTTTGGGGTTGGCTATACCAGTGTGCTTATTCTGGCTCTGCCATTTAATAGCCATATAGCCTTAGGAAAAGCACCTTTCCGCATCTGTCTCCTCACTTGTCAAGAGGAATAATACTCATAAGGCTTGTGGGAGGATTAAATGAGATAAAATATGCAGATTACTCCATAAGAAGTTAGCCTTTTAACCACAGTATTTCACTATTTATGGCTATTAACACCTTGTCTTTGCATTGAAATTTTTACACCCTGAAAGGTCAAGTCTCTATACATTAAATGTTCAGCATATTTCTAAACATTCATGTCAGCCTGGCTGGCTTCTGGCTTAGAGATAGGGAAGTGACATGAACACTGTTTCACAGATGGGACTTCGGATGCCTATAAAGATTAAGTGGCCGATCCAGTATCACTAAGTTAAGACAGTACTGAAACAGCATGAAATATATTGGAACACATGATTCAGATGTGAATCTTACGCAAGACTGGTATTTCCTTGAGTTAGGTGTACACACTAATGTACATGCAATTTTATTTGTCAGTGGACCAGAGCTATATTCATCAGAGTCATTGGGTTTGTAGTTTGCAAAAGAGAGAACATGAGAGACTCCACAATGTAAAAGTTAACAGAAACAGAGCAAGACGATAGGAAAATGGCTAAGATCAGAAACTTGACCTCTATTCCAGATGGATTAAAAAAAAAAAGAATATTATGGTAGGATATAGTGTGAAAAACAGGTTTTATACTTTCAGAGCAACTTTGGTTGGCAGCAGGGAAAAGATAGCTGAGACTGGACTATAAATATTAAAAATGTGATTTTTAATAATATAAGTACAAAATTTTATTTCTTTATACAACTGTAATGGAATTTGGATCAAACCACTAGGATTTATTTTAAAAACAAAAATAAAACAATGATATAAAAATTGCAAGAAGGTCTGAATCCAAAGTTTTTTTCTCTAATAGTACCAAATACCACAAGGTACAGGTTATTATACAAATGTGTACAAATTTTAAATACAAATACAATAGGATTGGATTTTAAAGGAAAACAAACAAAAAGCAGGTCCTCATCAGGATTTCATGAATGTATACAAATGACCATGGTAGGACTGACTTCTTTCGTTACTAAGCCATGTCTTCAAGGCCCCTCCTTGGTACCTGTGTCAAACAGGAAACCTCCGTAGGTACAGATGAGGCATGGTACAGGTTCTAATACACGAAATCAAAACAAGATTTCTATTCCTGATTTTGGTTCCCAAACATTCCCCTTTCCTTCTGTTTCCCCCATTAAATCTCAAAACTGCTCTGAGATGAGAAAGGCATTCAGCAGCCAGAATACCATTAAGAAACAGCCCCGCGACCACTCTGGTGGGGAGAAGGGAAGGCATTCAATAGGGTGCGGGCTGGCTGCACTGTCCTCAAATCTCTCCTTTGATGCTGTGGAGCTCCGTGGAGCCTGGGGAAGAAAGTTCCCTCAGAGCTGGTGTTTGGCAGGGAAGCTCACACATTTAAAAAGAACCCTGAAGCGCTCAGCTGTCTTCTTTGGATCTAGGAAGCAAAAGTCTGGTTCTTTGGAAATAAGGGCAGCTGGGAATGAAAACATTCCTTTTTATTTACTTTCTTCACATTATTGATATAAAGAACTAGAATCCTGACAATGATTCCTTTTTGAGGCACAATACCTTCAAATGCAGATGATCTGGAGTTTAAAGAGGAGGGAAGGGAGGAAGAAAGAACAATCTGTATCTTCCACATGCTGTTGCTGGTGGAGGCTTTTGTTATTAAATTATATATACAGAAATTTACAGGATAAATTAAAATCTAAGATTTTAAAGAGTTAAATACACATAATTAAAACACATTCACACGCGCACATAAATAAACCTACATGAGAATCAGCTACTTTTTTTGCAATTCACTTCTGTGTGGAATGCAGAACACTGTGTATCTGCCCACCAGGGGAGCCAATATGATGAACCCAAGAATCCCACTGGGCCAAGTTCATCTTCCACAGCCACCACGCAATTAAGCAGAACCTGTGAGGACTTGGTGGCTAAGCAAATGCTGCCAGATGGAAGATACCAGCTCTTCGTTCTGCAGGCCAAAGACTCTGCGTCAGCTCAATGTATGCAGTTCAACTGGTGGCACGACAGCGTTACCCTCTTCAAGGCATTTTATGCTGCCAGGGCTCACAAAACTCCTTGGCCCCTACCAAGGCTGCCAATGATTACAATAAACTGAGACATGGACACCTGTATCGCAGGAACTGGGCTGAACCTCCCACTAGGTTCACCTAAGCCAGTGGTTCTCAACCTTCTGGCCCTTTTAATACAGGTCCTCATGTTGTAACCCAACCATAAAATTATTTTTGTTGTTACTTCATAACTGTAATTTTGCTACTGTTATGAATTGTCATGTAAATATCTGCTATGCAGGATGTATTTTCATTGTTACAAATTGAACATCGTTAAAGCATAGTGATTAATCACAAAACAATATGTAATTATATATGTGTTTTCCGATGGTCTTAGGTGACTCCTGTGAAAGAATCTAAACGTATTTCCAAGAAAAAAAAATGCACTTGGCACCCAGAACAAGCTCCCAGCCCTCAAGTAACATTGATTTTTAAGGCAGATTTATCCACCACAGGAGAAAAAAGAATCCCAAGCCCATTTTCATGCCAAGGTTTCCTCTTGGCTAAACCTTTGCCATTTCATAAAATTATTAAAAGTGAAGTAGTTACAATCCTATGTATATATTGTACATTATATATATATATATTTATGTGTATGTATATAAAAATTTAAAACCTACACCCAGTGGCTAGTGAAGGGATCTGGAACGGTCATATATACACAAACCGGCAATGGGGTAGGACAAGGTTTCCATCCCAGGATTCTCTGCTGTCACAGCCCAGGCATGATGTAAGCGATGTTGTCTAGTGTGTTTGCCTGCAAAACAAGGGGGAAAGGTTCAACGGCAGAGTACTAAGCCTTGGTTCCCTGATGCCTATTTCTCTGTTCAGGGGACAGAGGTGAGAAAGAAAAACCAGAGTGTGAGGAAACGGGGAGGATGAAGATGGCATCCTGTGTCTGTTATGCTAGAGGGTTTTCTGCTGGCTTCTCCCATTGACAAGGACACAAGAGGCAGAAGACTCCTGTACGTCTTAGTGTGGAACACACAGGAGACACAGGTGTTGCAGTACCTCAAGGGGTAGAAGGCTTCCCTCCACAGGACTATTTTAGGGAATGGCATGTTTGGTTTCACTGAAAGCATGGCACGCATTCAGCGCGTTACACAGTATCACGTTCCTGGGCCCATAGGTGGAGGGAGCCTATCTGCTAGATGCCAGGCAACCATAGGAACTTGTGCCTGACGGAGCTCTTTAAGACAGGGCCTCTCTGGCTCCCGAGGGTTCTGGCTTCAAAACTCCAAGGAAAACTCACCAAGACCTGTTTGGGGCAGCCATTCAGTTCAGGTAGTTGTGTGGTCAGACACGCCAAGGGGCCGAGCGCACAGATAATGGAATCCAGAAGCACTGACAAACTGCCAGACACAGCCACCATGCCCTGGAAGGGAGAGCAAAAGAGGGGCGTTGGTTGTAACGGGAACCCCACTCCTGGTGCTCCCTCCTCGTGTGGTTCATTTCCTCACTTTCTATCTTTTTTTTTTTTAATATATTTTTATTGATTTCAGAGAGAAAGGAAGGGAGAGGGATAGAGAGTTAGAAATGAGACTGGCTGCCTCCTGCCCGCCCCCTACTGGGGAT